ATGATGCGATCAGGGTACTCTTCTCGGATCTTGCTGATAAGGAGAGTGCCCATTCCAGAGCCTGTGCCCCCGCCCAGTGAGTGGGTCAGCTGGAAGCCCTGAAGGCAGTCACAGCTCTCAGCCTCCTTGCGGACCACATCCAGGACAGAATCAACCAGCTCGGCCCCTTCTGTATAGTGACCTTTGGCCCAGTTGTTGCCTGCCCCAGACTGACCAAAATCAAAGTTGTCTGGTCTAAAGATCTGGCCAAAAGGACATGAGCGAATAGAGTCCATGATCCCAGGTTCTAGATCCACCAGGATGGCACGAGGAACATATTTGCCACCTGTGGCTTCATTGTAGTACACGGAGATGCGGTCCAGCTGCAGGTCGCTGTCCGCGTGGTAGGTGCCAGTGGGGTCGGTGCCATGTTCATCACTGATCACCTCCCAGAACTTGGCACCGATCTGGTTGCCACACTGACCGGCCTGGATGTGCACGATTTCCCTCATGGTTAAAATTTAATTTTTTTGGTCACCTCAAGGTATGTATGGGGCAAAAAAAATATGTAATTTTTTTTTCCCTGCTGCTCGCAGGCTGGAGGACTGGAATGAGCCCCAGAGGCTGGAGCAGCGAGGTGTGAACGTGGCGGCCGGAAGGTTCTGAGAGGAGAAAGGCTACTTTTGCTATTTGTGAGCTTCATTCACGTAATTGCATCTATCAAGTTATTGTCATCATATATGTACATATGTATGTACTCATACACATATAGGTATGTCATATCTGAATCAGTCCGTTATATTAATAAATGACAGTTTACTAAGTAAATAAATCGGTTCATTAAGTTAATAAGTGACAATATATATATCTATTTTTCTGTTGATCGAATTTAAATGTTTCCATTATAAATATCTTCGACAAATCTGTTATAAATATCTTTGTACAAGTTCTTCTGCTTATATTCTCACAGTTTTATTGATAAAATATGTATAAATAAGTATGCATCACCTTTTTGGCTTTATGGAGCTATAGCTGAGTAATAACATTTTATGTATTTAATGTACAACATTTGATGTATTGATGTATTGATGTATTTGGGAAAATGCTCATCATGATCAAGGTAATTGGTATGCTTATCATCTCAGAGAATTATCATTTTATGCCTTTAATTTATTGTGTGTGTGTCATAGGAACACCTACGATCTACTCTTCTGGCAAAAGATAAATTTGTAATATAATATTCATTAGCATCGTCACATTAGTGTGCATTTCATCTCCAGAACTTCTTCAACCTGTGTATCAGTCCATTCTCAAACTACTATAAAGAACTACCTGAGACTAGGAAATTTAGGAATAAAAATGTGTTAGTTGACTCGCAGTTCTGCAGCCTTAACAGGAAGCATTACTGAGAGGAATCAGGAAACCTAGAATAATTGTGGAAAGTGAAGGGGGAAGAAACGACCTTCTTCACATGCTGGCAGGAGACACAGAGAGAAAGAGCAAGAGAAGGTATTTAAACCATGAGTTCTTCAAAGAACTGCATCACAAGAACATCAAAGGGGAGGGTGGCCCCATGATCCAGTCAGTTCCCATCAGACCTTTCCTACAACACTTGGGGATTAAAATTTGACATGAGATTTGGGTGGAAATACAGAGTCATACCATATCATTCCACCCCTGGTCATCACAAATCTCATGTCCTTCTCACATGGTAAAGTATAATTATCTCTCCTCAACAGTCACCCATTCTTAACTCATTTCAGCATTAACACAAAAATCTACAATCTAAAGTCTCCTCTGAGACAAGGTAAGTTTCTTCTGCCTATAAACATGTAAAGTCAAAAACATGTAATATCCATATGGGAGATATTGGCCATAACAAAAGGGATACGGACCCCATGCAAGTACAGACCCCAGCAGGGCAGTCATTAAATTGTAAAGCTCCATGTCTCACATCCAGGACACACTGCTGCAAGAGGTGGTCTCCCAGGGCCTGGGAGACTCCATCCTTGTTGCTCTGCAGGGTACAGTCCCCATGGCTGCTTTCAGAGGCTGGCATTGAGTTCCTATGGCTTTTCCAGGCACACCGTGGAAGTTGTTGGTGGAGCCACCATTTCGGGATCTGAAGGATTGTGGCCCTCTTCACACAGATCCACCAGCCAGTGCCCCAGTGGGAACTCTGTGATAGATCCAACACCACGTTGTCCTTCTATGCTGGCCCAGTAGAGTCACTTCATTAGGGCTCAGCCCCTGCATCAGACTTCTGCCTGAATATCCAGGCATTTTCATATATCATCTGAAATCTAGGAAGAGGTTCCTAAACCTAAACTCTTGCCTTATGTGCACCAGCAGGCTCAACACCACGTGGAGGCAATCAAAGCTTAGGGCTTGCGCCCTCTGAAGCAATGTCCTGAGCTGTACCTTGACCTTTTTTAGCCATGGCTGGAACAGGAGAGTCGAGGACCGAAGGTGCCATGTCCCGAGGCTGCACAGAACACTGGCGTTCTGGGCCTGGACCATGAAACCATTTTTCTCTTCTGGACCTCAGGATCTGTGATGGGAGGGGCTGCCACAAAGATCTCTGAAATGCCCTGCAGACATTTTTTTCCATTCGGCTCCTCATTACTTATGCAAATTTCTGCAGCGAGCTTGGATTTCTACCCAGAAAATGAGTTTTTCTTTTCTACTACGTGGCCAGGCTGCAATTTTTTATCAAACTTTTATGCTCTGCTTTCCTTTTAAATATAAGTTCCTATTTCCTACCACCACTTTGTGAATGCACATGACTTGCATTTCCAGAAACAGCCAGGTCAAATCTTGAATGCTTTGGTGCTTAGAAATTCCTTCTGCCAGATACCTTAAATCATCTCTCTCTAGTTCAACATTCCACAGATCAGTAAGGCAGGGGAAAAATGCCGCTAGTCTTCTTTCTAAAGCATAGCAAGTGTGACCTTTACTCCATTTCATAATAAGTTCCTCATCTCTCTATGATACCACCTCGGCCTGGACCTTATTGTCCATATCGCTATCAGCATTTTGGTCAAAACCATTCAACACGCCTCTATGACACTTTTCCACATCTTTCTGTCTTCCTGTGATCCCTCCATGCTTTTCCAACCTCTGCCCATTCCCCAATTACAAAGTCACTGCCACATTTTCAGGTATCTTAATAGCAGTACCTCACTCCTGGTGCAAATTTTCAGTATTAGTCCATTTTCAGGCTGCTATAAAGAACTACCTGAGACTGAGTAATTTATGAAGAAAATAGTTTTAATAAACTCACAGTTCCGCAGGCTAAACTGGAAGTGTTACTGGGAGGCATCAGGACACACAATCATGG